TGGTGGCCCGGGGAGCCTGGGGATCTGTGCACCAGCTCCTTACATGCTTTCTGTCTGCTCTCCTTACCTCTACCTTCCACCTTTGGGTTACCGGTTCCTGGGTTCCTGAATGAACTGCAGAAGGGCTATGTGATGTGACTTTTTGCTGAGTGGGCAGATGTTCTTTGGTTCCTGGCCTCCAGACTTCCAGATGAGGAAACAGGCAGTTCACAGGCTCTGTCATCCAACTGAGTTACTGACACAGCTGGGACACTAAACTTAGGGCCATGTTTGTTCTTTCACTCACTCAGTTCCTGGGTAGGTGATGGCTAATTCCTGTTTGGCAGGAGCCTTCCTGGCTTCTGGTCTCCATAGAGTTCTGGGACACAGCCTCCTGGTTTTGTTACCCTTAAGACTAGGGATGGAATAGGCCCAGGAAGAGACCCCTCAAATTCCTTTATCCCACCCAGCAAGATGCCACAGTGGCTGACTTTGTGGCTGGACTTAGATGCTGCTGCTGCTGCTGGTGTGTGTGTGTGTGTGTGTGTGTGTGTGTGTGTGTGTGACAGAGAGAGAGGGGGGAGGGGGAGGGAGGGAAGGAGGGAAGGAGACAGAGAGAGAGAGAGAGAGAGAGAGAGAGAGAGAGAGAGAGAGAGAGAGAGAAAATGAGAATGCAAAGAGCCAGAATTTCCATTTTCCCCTACCTTCAGACAGCACAAGCAGCCCCTTTAATCGGGCAGCAGCCATTTAAAGTAAGACACACTCCCAGTTGTGTTTTATCTCCAGGGCTCTAGTCTATCTCAGGTCAGGAAGCAGAGGCCCTGGAGGGGTTAGCATTGCAGGCAAGGGCAAATGCTGATGGCAGACAGCCTGGCTCAGAGTGGGCTGCTCAGCAAGTACTTTTGTGAATTGCTAAATAAACGAAGAATACAAATTGCTGTCTATTTTCAAATAAAAAACAAAAAGCACCCGCTACTGTGCACTCCGAGTGATTAGCATGATGGACCGCAATGACTCATCCACTCTTCACCACCTTAATATTACTCCCATTTTAGAGATGAGGAATCAGAGGTAGAGTGGGGTAAGCGCCACCCCAAGGCCATAAACCAATATAAGGTAGAGGCAGAGGCAGGATCTGAGTCTAGCCACTGTGGCTCCTTTGGCCACACTATGCCAAACCCTCTGTGCATACAAATGCTCACATCAACTGTTTAAGAGCTTTCTGGGCTGTACAAGCATTCTGAATGCATTGTCCAAGATGGGAGCCACTGGCTACAGGTGGCTCTTGAGTCCTTGAACTATGGCTGGGGTGGTGAGGGGCTGCTTAGTGTGCAAAGGGAAGCGGTCTAGCTCACATTCAACATTGATTATCACAAGCTCTGAACCACAAATAGGTAGTGGCAATCCTGAGCCTAGAGAGTTGAATCTGGCTCCAGGGGTCAGATTCTCCCCGTGCCCTAGAAACAAGGAAGACAAACAGGATAGAGACGACAGAGCCTCACCCCTACAATCCAGGCCACACTATGAAAATAGGGAGCTGGTCTCTGGCACTGAGTCACTCCTGACCACCAAGACCTTTGTCTCTGTCTGTTCTGCCCTTCATTGCTTTCTGTCTGTCCCCTTTTCTTCACGTGAGCACATGACTGGACTACACAGCTTTTGCAGGTAGAGAGAAAACTCTTGCCCATGGCCTGCACATTGAGTAGAGGACCTCTGATCCCTCAGGCATGGTAAGTCCTCCACCTCATCGAGCTCTTGATCCAGACTTAGATTCTCCACCTTAGGGATGCTGGTGATGGCAAAGCCATAATCCCTGCCAGGAATTTGGCTCAGAGCCTGCCTCCTGTACTGCTGTCAGCTGGTGTGTGCGCAGGGAGCACAGACTCATTTTAATATTGGCCGGAGCTAAACCTCATTAGAAAAGTAAATTTGCTGTAGCTGCAGGGGAAAAATGCAAGCAATCCACACAACCTTCCCAAAGCTAAACAGAAAGCACAGGGTTTAGACTGTTTAATGCAATATGTCCTCATCACCAGGTGCAGGGCCTGGGACACAGGAGGTACTTAGAGTCACTGCAAGTGGCTAAATTCTGGGTGACTTCTGTCCATAGTCACTTTCCGCACACAGAGTAAATGGTCATAGATTTAGAGTGTTTATGAATCTCAAATAAAATTAGACAACCATTTGCTGGTATTATGGAATGATTAAAATAAAAAACTCACTAGGTATTAAAATATCATTCCTACTGTTCTTCAATAGAGAGATGTTCTGAGTAATTTGGTTCTGTATCAGGAAGGGTAGGGTTCAATTCAAAGTCAGAGGTTAGATATCTACATAGGTTAAGGGGAGGCATACTCAGATACTTCGAGAACAGGGGAGGGAAGGAGAATGTATAAAAGATATAAATGAAATTAACATTCATAGCCCTTATTCTTAACAGTCTAAAAAGAAGATACTTCCTTAATTTATAGATTGTCAGGAAAGCATGCATTAAGAGGGTTCATTTTTTTCTCAAAATCCACTTAGCTGGGGACAGATGTACCGACATATAGGACCCCAGCAAGCCCTTCTGGGGTTTGTCACCTCTGGATGATGACCATGCCTCTTAGCTGGTCCCTGGGGGGATTTCCAAAGATCTGCTTGTCTGAAGCCCTGACAAGGAGGATGGTACATGACAGAGGCTTCTCTCCCTCTTCCCTAGGTGTCAGGCTTGCCCATACTCTGCCTCTTTCTCCATCACACTACATGCCAGAACCAGGTAAGAATAGCGAAGGCCAGAAGGTGACCAGTCCTGAACACTGAGTGATGCCACAGCAGACGGCTCGCCTTAATAGTCCTGGAACAGTTTGCTTTCGATTTCATGACCTATCCATGTTGTGAGCCCCCTGACTCCATCAGAGTCTTTCTCAGTAGACAGTCCACTAGCTCCAGTGAGGAGCCTCCCCAGGAGAGGATGATTGATAATGTTATGGTGTGCAGATTTGTAGAAGGCGGCTCATATCTCGTCTGAGGCTCCACTCTGCCTCCTTCTCATTGCCTCTCCTAGTCTCTGATTTCTCCTTGTGCTGAAGCCTGGCCTCTCCTACAGGCAGAGGAGCATTCAGGAATCCTTATTCTTCTCTTCTAGCCACGTGCAACCACTGGACTCCCTGACCCAGAGCCTGGCTTGTTGGTCAGCTCACCCTCTTCCATAGCTTATCCCTACAAAAGCTCATCACTCTGGGCTCCATATTACGAAGGCACAATAGACTCGGTCCTCCCTAAAAACTGTGGGAAAAATCCAAGTCTAATGAAAAGCTTGTGCAGAAGACATGGCTTCTTTTTTTGGGCAGCTTATTCTCTGCTTCAGGCTCCCATTCTGTAGTTGGGTCCCCTCTAGTGATTTACTTGCCCAGGGCTTCAGGTGAAGCATTCAGTAGTACCTTACCCAGAAACACATGTACATATCCAACCACGCCCACAGGCACAGGGTAGTCTAAGCCCTTGGGGAACAACTGTACAAATGGGAGCAGCAAGACCTCACTGCCAAGTGCCTCACTGCCAAGTGCAGGCATACATGCATTCATCTCCCCAGTCCCATCACCCTAGGAAGCATTTTTCTCTTGTTGAAAGGGGCAGAGAGGAGATGAAATGCAAACCCAGGACCTTTGTGGATCCTGGAAGTGAGCTGAGCAGAGTGGGAGGTTTTGTGAAGGTGTCATGGGAAGGATCTTTGTCTTGCATGAACACAGAAAGGACTTGATGTTTGGTTCAATAGTGGTCACCAATTGAGCAGGTTCTAAAGGAAAATGCCTTTTCTCTGTAGTGACTCTCGATGGAAAAGGGAGATTTCAGGACAGAAGACTAGAGCAACAACAGCCCTACACAGCTAAATACACACCTCAACACTAGTCACTTGTGAAGCTGCGTGCTTGCCACTTACACACACACACACACACACACACACACACAGAGAAAGAGACACACACACACACAGACACTCACATGCACATGTACACACGCACCATTATTTCTTTGCTAGGCACATGGGTATCCATCTCATTCACGTGAAATTGTATGCCAAATAGTCTAAGAACAAGATCCTGCTACGCACTCCGGCTAAACTGGTCTCTGTAGAGAAGTACCCCGCAAGCATCGGGGAATCCACTGTTAACAAATGGCTCTGGCCAGGGTCCTTGTCTTAGAAATCTAGGGGTCATATCAGCTCTAGTTTCTATAAGCTGTCCAGCGAGTGCACTAGGACTAGATCTGGTTGAGAAAGTCATAGCTCACGCAAACCAAGTTCCTGTAGGTGGGTGGGGTTGAGGTGGTGGTGGGTGGGTTCTTGACCTGAGCTGCTTAGTAGGAGGCTGACACCCTGGTTTCCCGAGGTGCTGGATCTGATACTTTTTCTCTTGCCTCATGTCTCAGTTTCCTTTTCTGAACTTGTATGATCAAGTGCACAGAGGAAGGTAGTGACCTGGTCCTGCCTCCTTCCGCTTTCCTGCACGGAAGGTCTCAAAGATTCACTGTCACTTTCCACATCTCTCAGCTCCCAGCACTCACAGGAAAGATTCTCGGCGCTTGGTTCCCTTGAAAAGAATTAAATCGTAAACGTCCAGGAAAAGCAGAGCGATTGGGGTCCCTGCTGGTGAGTAGAGGTGCAGCTAGAGCTGACCTCTTCTCCTGTGATCCCGTGGGCCACCAAGAACCACCTGCTGAGGTGGCAAGGGATAGAATAGCTAAGAGAAAGACCAGTTGTTAGAAGACTCAGAGAACCAGTTCCTGCCTTCATCCTAATGGAGCGGGGCAGGCAGCATCCTAGCTTTATTTCCTGGCCCCTCAGGTGCAGGCCCTGACAGCCGGCCCTATTTCCTGATGTCCCTATTTTGTGCAACACACACACACACACACACACACACACACACACACACACACACTCCGCGCGCGCACGCGGGCGGACATGGCGCGGGTACTGATGGGGACGCATAAAGGGGCTCTGTGCACCGCGGAGGTGGGGGATCAGGGCGCCGGACACTGACCTGCGGCAGCGAGTCCATATCATCCCCGGCGCGGTCCATAGCGGGTGGCAGTCCTATGCCCTGGCCCCAGCGACCCAGGGCTGCTGCCCTGCGATGCGCGCGCTTCTCTCTCGGGGCGTTCTCCCGTTCCGTGCCCTCGGGGACCACTTCATAGCCGCGGGCCCACTCGTGCGCAGCCCCGGCCGGCCCGCTACCACGGCCCGGCTGCTTCTGGGCTCACCCAGGCGGCGGCCGGAACCCCGGAGCGCGCGGGAGGGCGCCGGCGGAGAGGCGCCGGGCGGCGATAGGAGCCCCAGGAGGCGACGCGCGGGCCGGCCGGGCCGGGATGGCTGGGCGCGCGGCCG